GCCTGGTTCACCACTCCTGCGCTGCGGGCACTGGCAGTGCGCGTTGTGCAAGTCGCCACTCTGGCCGGCCGCGCGGCGCGTGCTAGCAGAGCAGCAGTGCTGCGCGCCAATGCTGGCCCCTGGTTCTACATCGTGTGCGCCGGCGGCCTCTTCAGCGGAAGCGCTGGCAGCTGGCCTGGACAGGCGCGGCCCGCAGCAGGCAGAGGCTGTGTTCAATGGCGTGGCTGCGAAGCAGGGCGTGCGGTGTCTGGGATCGCCCCTGCGGCCGCTCGCGGCCATCCAGGCGGTGGCAAGAGCGCAGGCGTCTGGCAAGAACCCATTGCAGGCTTTGCACACGAGGGCGGCACGCCTCAAACTTGAGAGTCGCCAGCATTCTCTGCGAACGACGGCGAGCGGGCTCAGAGCATGGCGCCAGTTCGCAGCTGCGGTCTTGCATTATCCCGTGTCCAGCACGTTGCCGCCGAAATCGCCCACAGACATGGAGGCATTCATATCATTTCCCATAATTTTGGCACTGCTTCGAATTACGTTTCTTCTGTCGAATGGGCCTGCCTGCAGTTAAGACTTGATACTTCGTGGTTCGATGACGCAATTTTGCAATTGCTCAGAGTTGGCAAGAAGCGGGACATGCGAGTAATTGGTGGCACGATCAAGATCCAGAGGCTCCTCAACACGAAGTTGGTCACGCAGCTCGTGGCCCTGGCAGACCGCTCGGGCCAATTTGGCTTCGCAGCCCTCCTCCTCTTCAGTTGGGAGTTTCTGGCCAGGGTGTCCAGCGAAGCTGTGCAGGCCGAGCGGGGCGACGCAAGGGAAGCCATGGTCTTGCCAGCCGGGAGGCAAAGTGCCGTCTACATCGGTTGTCATGGTGCGCTGGAGCAGGCGCAAGCATCGACCTCGTGGCTCGCTCTTGCGTCGGCCGTGCCGGTGCGCGCAGGTTGGCCCTCAGTTCTGCGCTGCGCATCGGTTGGGCGCGGTTGGAGCAGTTTCAAGTTGGACAGAGGCTGTGGTCATTCTCAACTTCCAGCGCCTTTGGGGTGTTGCGAAGGCTGCTGTGTCTCCTCGGCGTCCACGACGCAAAGCTGTATACGTGGAAGTGTGTCCGGGCAGGCCGCGCCGCGGACATGGCAGCCCGGGGGTGCACCCTAGGCAGTATCTTGTTCGCTGGCGAGTGGCGTTCTGTGGCAGTACCCCGCTACATCAACGAGCAGGAGGTGGACGCGGCGGAGGCTCTGAGGCAGGCCGTGGACGCCAGCGACACCGAGACGGAGTCGTGAGGCGCGACTCGTGGTCTCGGGCTCCGCAGAGCATGCAAAACAAGCTGGACGCATCATTGGGACATTGGGTGCTTAGGGCCCATCAGCGGTAGCTGGGGCATGGGCCCCGCCCGGTTCGGAGGTTCCTCCGGAGGGCGGGTTGCCCTGGGCGGCTGGCCGGTCTCCCGGATGCCTTGGCAGAATTTCACTCTTTAGGTTTCGGGAGGGCGACCCGTGGGCCAGTCCCAATGTTGGGCCCGAGGCGTCTCCAGCGCAAGTAGCTTGCTACTTGTTCCCACGAGCCCAACGCAGTCATGTGTCACTTTAACGTGTGTAAGCGGGCATAACTGAGGCGGGGGTCGTGGGGCTGGGGTCCGGGCCCCGTTGCGTCCTTGCGCTTGTGTCCATGGGTCTTGCATAGGGTGTGGGGGCCGTTTGTCGGCGACAGTCGAAATATCCAGCGACGTGCACGACGGAGAGGAAGAAAGTGCGCCGCCCTAGGCGCTCGCACTGCCAGGTTGTATTCTATTCCACGTTGCCCCGTGCCGTCTCTGGTCTGGTCGGCTGCGGCCCCGCCGAGAGCTTCCGGGGGCGTGCGTTCTCCCTGGTGTGACCCTTGGGGTTGCTGTGGCTGTTGCCCCGCCGAGGGCCTTCTGGGGGCGCGCTGGCTCCCTGGTGCGTCCGTGGCGTTTGCTTTGCGCCGGGACTCGAACCATCAGTGGCCCCGCCGAGAGCTTTCCAGTGGTGGCCGGCGTGTGCTTTCCTGTGGTCTGGCCGGCTTCTCCTGGCGGCCCTGGTGAATACGTTTTCCCAGAGTTCGTATCCATATTCGGGGGCGGGGCGCGGTCAGTAGACGTCTGTGTTCGGAAGTCGCGCGTCGTTCCCCACCCCCCCGCTCTGGACAGCGGCTCTGCTGTAGGTGTTCTTGGGTGGCCGGCTGTGCACTGTACTCCGTCTGTACGCAGTGGCCTACTTGTGCACACCCACCGCTTGGGGCCCATCAGCGGTAGCTGGGGCCTGGGCCCCGCCCGGTTCGGAGGTTCCTCCGGAGGGCGGGTTGCCCTGGGCGGCTGGCTGGTCTCCCGGATGCCTTGGCAGAGTTTCACTCTGTAAGCTTCGGGAGGGCGACCCTCGGGCTTGTCCCAACGTTGGGCCCGAGGCGTCTCCAGCGCAAGTAACTTGCTACTTGTTCCCACGAACCCAACGCAGTTATGTTGTGATCCGTTGTTTTTGTTGTAATCCGTTGTTTTTGTTTTGAGGATACTCTTTTGTTTTCAGAACATTTCGTGGTTGACCAGTCGGAGTACTGGGATGGATGGTTTGCTCAAGGCAGGGCGAGGAGGCGAGGGTGAGAATGGTGAGGGGGGGGCGAGTAGCAGGCAGGAGGACGTGGAGCCAATGTTCAGATGATGCTGGGCGGGGCGGCGCAGGCAAGTTGACTGTGATTGGCACTGTCAGCGGCAGTGCACGAGGACGAGTAGCAGGAGGTCGGATCATGGTTCTCTGACGATGTGGTGGTGCTGCTGCCGTTGATAGCCTTGAGGAGAAATATTTACCTGACTCGGTCACCCTCCGCTCGCTGTTTCCCATTCGTTTTGTCCAGTTCCCCCTTCTTCCTCCTCCGAATCATCCTCCTATCTCCCTGTAGTCGCAATCGTGGGCTGTCCCATGAGTGCCTCCGTATCCTCTGTGCCCCTTCCACAGGCCGTGCCAGGGCTGGACCTAAACGCTGTTTTGCTGGACTCAAGGTGCGTTTTGTTTCTTCATTCTGGCAGGGAGCTACAGGAAAACAGCGAGAGCAGAACGAACAAAAAGGAAACTACACAACGAAACACAACGTTTAGGTCCAGGCTTGTGCTGCGCTCTTCAGCGTTCCCTCTTTGCCTTTTCCCTTTATTTTTCCTCCTCCCCCCCTCGTCCTCATCGCCGTCCTCCTCCAAGTCACTCTCCCTCGTCCGTGGTTCTCTCCCCTGCACTGGCCCTGCCCTCGACCCCCCCCCGTTGCCTCCTCCCCGTTGCCTCCCCCCACGTTGCTTCTCCCCCCCCATCCGCCGCCCGCCAGTACCCCAAGCGCAACGACCGTTATCTGATCTTCCGGCTGCTGCTCAAGACCGAGGCCCCCGCGTCCCCGCCCCCCTTCCCCCCCTGTCCCTCCAACGAGGGAGGGAGGGAGACATATGCCACCAGCAGCGAACGTATCCATATCCACGCCCTCGCGGTCTGAATTCCAGGGCGCGATCCCGCGGACACGCGTTCGCACCGCTGGGTTCCGCGCGGGGCATCTGCGAAAGAGCGCCCCGTATCCGAGGGGTCGCGGCCTTGGGGCCCGGCCCGCCAGGCCATAGTGGATATGTTTTTTTTGCCCACGACAGGGGGGGGAGGAAGGGAAAGGTGTGAGAAGGTTCTGGGCCCCTCGTGCAGCCCCTGCTTGTGAGCATCATGGAGGGCCTGTTACGTGACAGACTGCCTGAACATCGTGGGGAGCCTCCAGCGAACGCGGGCGTGTGCTCTGCACGCTCCGCGGGAGACCCTTGATTTGTGGCAGGCGTTGTCACGTCCTGGACGAGCAGGGCGGACTCTCGAAGTCGTTGTCGATCGAGTTTGTGAGGAGCCATCGGACGGAGTATCCCTCGAACGCGTGGGGGACGACTGGGCCGACGTCGCCTCCAAGCGCGGCCTGGCCTTGCACTCAATCTCAGACAGAGCTGCAGACACCCGTGGTGCACCACACCTTCGGCTCCGTCTGATGGCGGCATGGATCGGGAACCACCAGGCTGCGCTGGATTGCGGACCCGACAGCGCGGCCACCCGTGGGCAGGAAGATGCGGCACCATGCGACCACGGCCGTGCGAGGAGTGACGCAAAGACAGCATGCCATCCTGCTTTGAAGGCTGGGTCTCGGCCGCTTGCCCCGCTTTGTCGAGGACACCGCCGGCGCAGCACCTGCCGGTCACCCCTCGCCCCTCCTCCTCGTCCTCCTCCTCCTCCTCCTCCTCATCCCGTCGTTGTTCCTGGGGTCGGAGGTGAACGCGAACGTGGGGCCTTGCCTTTGCACCTCCCCGCCACAAGAGCGGGAGAGAGTCGAGATGGCGCTGGGGGGGAGGATCTGTGGAGGATGTGCGCGCAGGAAGCGGGAAGGGAATTGGTTTCAGGCGTCCGAGATGGCGTCGGAGTAGCCTGGGTCGTAGGATCGCTCCGCATGGCCGATGCGTCGACGATGCGGCTCGATGTGTAGCCAGAATTTCCAGAATCTCTCTACGCCGATGGCGCCGATGCATCGCCGACGTCGTCGATGAACCACCGAGGCGTCGCCGATGCATCGCCGATGCATCGACGATGCGGCGCGACCCTCCGACCCCATCTACATCCGGGAAGCCTCTACTGATGGAGGAGGGGGGCACGGGGGTACTCGTCGGTCGTTGGAAGTAGGTATGCCTGGATCCCCAGGTCCCACTCTACTCTAGCCGCTTCCTACCTCGAGGGTCGAGCGGTGTTCCCTCTTCCCTCCTCTTCGGGGGGTGGGCGGAAGCCCACTCCACTTCCGTCGCCTCCCTGCTTCATGCCCCTATCCTCTTCTCCCGACCGACGGGTCTGTGGGCGCCTTCTGCTTCCCGAGTGCGCCCCCTGGTCGGCCGCCGCCCCCCTCCCCCCACGGACAGACCAACCCGTACCACTGGAAGCTGCGCGGCGTGTGCCTCGTGGCCCAGACGGAGTGAGGGGCCGCGCCAGGTCGGGCCCAGCCAGTACCGCGACAATGCGCAATGCCGCGTCCCGCGCGTGCGCCGCGGCCACGAGGACTCCGTCCTTCATCCCTCCCCTCACCTCTGCCTCACAGGGGTCTGGGCCTCCTAGACAGGGTCGGAGTAGATGGGGTCGGAGGATCGCGCCGCACCGCCGATACATCGCCGATGTGGCTCGATGCGGAGCCCGATTTTCTTCACGCGGTCGTCGCCGATGCATCGCCGGCGACGCATCGCCGATGCATCGCCGATGCATTGCCGATGCATCGCTGGTTCATCGCCGGTGCATCGCCGATGGGCGATGCGGCGCGATCCTCCGACCCCATCTAGTCCGACCCCATCCAGGAGGCTTCTGAGGAGGCAGTTCTTTATCCCCTGGCGATCACTCCGCCACCAAAGAAGCAGGCACATATTCCCTCCAGTGGGTTGTTCCTGGGCCTCAGGGGAGGGTGTCGGTGCATGAATCACCACCGAGAGCCAGCGACTTTCTACACAGCTGCCCTCCTTGAACCTTGAAGGCACATGCAGAAGTCGTCGGGGGGCGGCTGTGTATATATGTATATAACTGTATATACATCTACTCTACACAAAAAGGGTGGGCGCCCCTCCAGGGGACTATTGTTTTCTGATCATCTTAAAGAATGTTTAGGGGTATTTTATGATTACTTATAATTTTTCATCCAAAATCCGCCTGTAGGGGGACATGCTCCACCTAACCCCAGAGGCCCCCAACACACCCCACACACCCGAGAGGCCCCCCCCAAAAAAGCGCCGACGAGGCCCCCCAAACAGCCCAAGAGAGCTTCGAGAGCCGTCCCGAGAGATCCCGAAGAGGGTAAACACGTTGATTTCCAGTGGTTGTTGTTGTTGAACATTATTACTTCTAAAGAAATATTATTGTTGAGACCCCTGGTGCGCGACCCCCCTCCAAAACCTAGGCCGCAGCCTCATTTCCTTCATTTTCTAGCGAAAGCTTCAGAAAAGTGGATTGTGTCCGGATCCGGTTGTTTTGTTGTAATCCGTTTTCCCTTGCAAAAAACACTATAAAATGAAAATTCTTGTTCTTACTTGATCAAATTGCAAGAATCCCTTGCAAAAAATAAGGTAAAGTGGACATTCGTGCGCGCAAGACGAAATCCTTCCAAAACCTTAGGTTTCGTAACGATTTTAACATAAAAACATCAAAAACCCAATGGTTTTTTAAGAAAAAATTGTCAAAATGTCCTTCCGCGCGCGCTGTCCGAATCCCACAAAACCAATGGTTTTTCAACATTTATGTTACATGAGCTCGCGCGAGCTACTTTTTCTTGTTCTAACATAATCAAATTTCAATAATCCCTTGCAAAAAATAAGGTAAAGTGGACATTCGCGCGCGCAAGACGAAATCCTTCCAGAACCTTAGGTTTCGTAACGATTTCAACATAAAAACATCAAAAACCCAATGGTTTTTCAAAAAAAAAAGTCCAAATTTCATCCCGCGCGCGCTGTCCGACTCCCACAAAACCAATGGTTTTTCAACATTTATGTTACATGAGCTCGCGCGAGCTACTTTTTCTTGTTCTAACATAATCAAATTTCAATACTCCCTTGCAAAAAAAAGTAAAGTGGACATTCGCGCGCGCAAGACCAACAAAAAACACGACGATCTCAGGAACTTGCCCCAAAAATGTGACCAACTCCGCTCTCTCTGTCTCTCTCTCTGTCTGCTCTCTGTCTCTCTCTCTGTCTGTCTGTGTCATGTATTGTATGTCACAATTGCAGGATGCTGGGCACACGCGCGCCCCGAATAAGTGACCAAGTTCTGTGGGTGTGTACCCCACGCCAGTGTAGTAGCCACGGTCGTCCGCACGCCACGAAGTGAAGTGTCCCAACGTCATAGGGCGGGAAGCTGGGTTTGGGTGGTCGCGAAGAGTCGTTTGGATATTTGGTAGAGCTTGAACTGCCCCCCCACGAAGTGGGGGTATTGCCTGCGTCGTATGAAAACCCTGGCACTGGTGAGAACACTGAGCGTTCGGGTAAAATGATTGTTGTTGTTGTTGTTGAACATTATTAATTCTAAAGAATAATTATTGTTGGGCCCCCTGGTGCGCGCCCCCCCCGCCGCGCCTAGGCCGCAGCTACATTTTCATCATTTTCGTGAGGAAGCCTCAGGTAATTCGATGTGATCAAGATCCGGTTGTTTTGTTGTAATCCGCTTTCCCTTGCAAAAAACACTATAAAATGACATTTCTTGTTCTAATATAATCAAATTTCAAGAATCCCTTGCAAAAAATAAGGTAAAGTGGACATTCGCGCGCGCAAGACGAAATCCTTCCAAAAGCTTAGTGTTCGGAGCGATTTTAACATAAAAACATCAAAAAACCAATGGTTTTTCAACAAAAAAATGTCAAAATCTCATCCCGCGCGCTCTTGCGGATTCGTAGGAAACCCAACACTTTTTAAACATTTCTGTCAAACGGGCTTTTGCGAGCAACTTTTTCGAACTTCTGCGACAACGGTTGCGCACCTGCCAGGGCCATCATCCCTGTCAAATAATACCATGCGGGACACATTCGTTTTTTCTTCGCGCGCGCACGCCGAAATCTCCAAAAACCATTGGGTTCTGTGGGTGTGTACCCCACGCCAGTGTAGTAGCCACGGTCGTCCGCACGCCACGAAGTGAAGTGTCCCAACGTCATAGGGCGGGAAGCTGGGTTTGGGTGGTCGCGAAGAGTCGTTTGGATATTTGGTAGAGCTTGTAATGCCCCCCCACGAAGTGGGGGTATTGCCTGGTGTCGTATGAAAACCCTGGCACTGGGGAGAACACCACGCGTTCGGGTAAAATGATTGTTGTTGTTGTTGTTGTTGATACAGGCGGGGCAAGCCCCCCCGGGGGGGGAGGGGGGGAGGGGGGGGGGGAACAACACAACACAACACAACGCACCCCTACAGGAGGATCCTGTGGGATCCGTACAGGGTTCGGAACGGGCCTCCAGGGGCCGCCTGGGTGGAAAATTGCATTCCCCGCCCTCCTGCCTTTGCTGCTGCGCTCCGCTCCCCAAGCGTGGAGGAGGAGGAAGAGGAGGCGGAGGAGGAGGGCGAGGACAAGGTTGGGGGAGGAGGAGAATTAGGAGGATGAGGAGGATGAGGATCAGGAGGAGGAAGAGAGGAGGAGGAGGAGGAGGAGGAGGAGGAGGGAGGAGGAGGAGGAGGAGGAGAGGGGAGGAGGAGAGAGGAGGAGGAGGGGGAGGAAGAGGAGGAGGAGGAGGAGGAGGAGGAGGGAGGAGGAGGAGGAGGAGGAGGAGGGGGGGGGGAGGAGGAGGAGGGGAAGAAAAGGAAGAGGGGAACGTCGTCGACGACGACGACGACGATGATGGTGATGATGATGATGATGATGATGATGACGATGATGATGATGATGATGAGGATGATGGTGATGCTGATGTTGATGATGATGATGACGACGACGATGATGATGACGGTGACGATGACGATGGCGATGGCGATGTTGATGATGATTATGATCATGTTGACAATGATGATGTTGACGGGCACGACGATGATGAAAATGATGATGAGGATGGTGGCCGATGGGGATGAGGAAGGACGCCCTGGCGGTTTTCTGGGGCTGTTTTCGAAGGGTATTGGAGGTCATCTTGGGTCCTTCCAGAGGCCTTGTTGGACCCGTTTGGGGCTCTTTTCGGGCCGTCTTGGGCCAGGTTGGGGCTCTGTTGGGGCCGTCCTGGGCCTTCCATGGGGCCTGATGGGCCGTGCGGAGGACACCCTTGGAATCCGCTGTCCTTGTTGGGAGTTTCCGACACGTGTCGTCGACATTCGTTTTGGTCTTCAGCAAAAGGAGGAGGAGGAGGAGGAGGAGGAGGGGGAGGAGGGGGAGGAGGAGGAGGAGGAGGATGTACGTGGAAGAGGAGGAACGTGGGATGAGTAGGACAGACCAGGGGGGAGGGGGGGGACGAGGAATGATACCGAATGTGGAAGACTGGGGTGGAGCCGTCGATCATCGCCGCTCACGTGGTCTGTCGCGCGTGCGCCGCCCCCTGGGGCCACGGGGGGTGGGGGCGAGGAGGAGCAGGACGAGGAAGAGGATAACGAAAACAAGGCTGATGATGACGATTATGCTGATGATGATGAGGGTGAGGATAAGGAAGAAGAGGAGTTGCATGATTATGAGGATTTGGGCGGACGGGGAGCCGATGAGGATGATGAGGACCATGATGATCCCTACAGGGATCCTGTAGGGTCCCTGTAGGGATCCATAGTGATCCTCTAGGGCCCCTGTAGGGATCTAGAGGGATCCCATAGGGCCCCTCTATTCACAAAAAGCTATCCCATAGGGTCCCTGTAGAGGTCTAGAGGCATCCTATTGGGTCCCTGTAGAGATCCAGAGGGATCCCTATAGGGTCCTTATAGGGATCTACAGCGATCCCATAATGTCCCTGAAGGGGCCCACAAGGATCACATAGGGTCCCTGTAGGGATTTAAAGGGACCCCATGGGGACCTTGTAGGGAGCCCCAGGGATCCCATAGGGTCCTTATAGGGATCTACAGCGATCACACAAGATCCCTGTAGGGATCCAGAGATCCCATAGGGTCCCTGTATGGGCCCACAGGGATCCCACATGGTCTCTGTAGGGATCCACACGGCCCCCATAGGGTCCCTGTAGGGGTCGGCAGGGATCCTATACGGTCCGCGTACGGACCCACAGGGATCCCATAGGGTCCTTGTGGGGATCCACAGGGATCCTATCCATAGGGATGCTCTAGGGTCCCTATAGGAATCCATAGGGATCCTCTAGGCCCGTTGTAGGGACCCATCGGCATCCTATAGGGCCCCTGTAGGGATCGATCGGGATCCTCTCGTATCCCTGCAGGGTTCCATGGGGATCCTCTAGGATGCAGGGATCCATAAGGATCCTCTCGTATCCCTGTAAGGATCCATAGGGATCCTCTGGGATCCCTGTAGGGGTCCATAGGGATCCTCTAGGATCCCTGTAGGGATCCACAGGGATCCTCCGTAGGATCCCTGTAGGGGCCCACAGGGATCCTCCAGGATCCTTGTAGGGATCCACAGGGATCCTCTAGGATCCCTGTCGGGATCCATAGGAATCCCCTTGGATCCCTGTAGGGATCCATTTGGGATCCTCCAGGATCCCTGTAGGGGCCCACAGGGATCCTCCAGGATCCCAATAGGGATCCATTGGGATCCTCCAGGATCCCTGTAAGGATCCATTGGGATCCTCCAGGGTTCTTGAAGGGATCCATACACAGATCCTCTAGGATGCTTGTAGGGATCCACAGGGATCCTCTAGGATGCTTGTAGGGATCCACAGGGATCCTCCAGGATCCTTTTAGGGATCCACAGGGATCCTCTAGGATGCTTGTAGGGATCCACAGGGATCCTCTAGGATGCTTGTAGGGAGCCACAGGGATCCTCTAGGATGCTTGTAGGGATCCACAGGGATCCTCTAGGATGCTTGTAGGGATCCACAGGGATCCTCTAGGATGCTTGTAGGGATCCACAGGGATCCTCTAGGATGCTTGTAGGGATCCACAGGGATCCTCTAGGATGCTTGTAGGGATCCACAGGGATCCTCTAGGATGCTTGTAGGGATCCACAGGGATCCTCTAGGATGCTTGTAGGGATCCACAGGGATCCTCTAGGATGCTTGTAGGGATCCACAGGGATCCTCTCAGATCCCTGTAGGGTCCTTGTAGGGATCCAGAGGGATTCTATAGGGTCCCTGTAGGGATCCACAGGGATTCTAGAGGGTCCCTGTAGGGATCCACAGGGAGTCTAGAGGGTACTTGTAGGGATCCACAGGGAGTCTATAATGTCCCTGGGGGGATCCACAGGGAGTCTAATAGAGTCCCTGGAGGGATCCACGAGGATTCTATAGAGTCCCTGGAGGGATCCACAGGGATTCTATAGAGTCCCTGGAGGGATCCACAGGGATTCTATAGAGTCCCTGGAGGGATCCACAGGGAGTCTATAGAGTCCCTAGGGGATCCACAGGGATTCTATAGAGTCCCTGGAGGGAGTCTATAGAGTCCCTGGAGGGATCCACAGGGAATCTATAGAGTCCCTGGAGGGATCCACAGGGATTCTATAGAGTCCCTGGAGGGAGTCTATAGAGTCCCTGGAGGGATCCACAGGGATTCTATAGAGTCCCTGGAGGGATCCACAGGGATTCTATAGAGTCCCTGGAGGGATCCACAGGGATTCGATAGAGTCCCTGGAGGGATCCACAGGGATTCTATAGAGTCCCCGGAGGGATCCAGAGGGAGTCTATAGAGTCCCTGGAGGGATCCACAGGGATTCTATAGAGTCCCTGGAGGGATCCACAGGGATTCTATAGAGTCCCTGGAGGGAGTCTATAGAGTCCCTGGAGGGATCCACAGGGATTCTATAGAGTCCCTGGAGGGATCCACAGGGATTCTATAGAGTCCCTGGAGGGATCCACAGGGATTCTATAGAGTCCCTGGAGGGATCCACAGGGATTCTATAGAGTCCCTGGAGGGATCCACAGGGATTCTATAGAGTCCCTGGAGGGATCCACAGGGATTCTATAGAGTCCCTGGAGGGATCCACAGGGATTCTATAGAGTCCCTGGAGGGATCCAAAGACTCCGAGAGGGTCCCGAACGGATTCCGATGGGAATCCGTAGGGAGCTTGTAGGATTCATACAGAATTCATACAGAATTCATACAGAATTCATACAGAATTCGTACAGAATTCGTTGTGTTGTGTTGTGTTGTCCCCCCCCCCCCCCCTCCGACTCACCGGGGGGGCGGGGCCGGCCTCCTCCACTGTGGCGGACGCGGGAAGTGAAGCCCCGGACCCGGGGGGACCATGCCGGCCTGTACCTTGTTGTTGTTGTTGTTGTTGTGGTTGTTGTTGTTGTTGTGGTTGTTGTTGTTGTTGCTGTTGTTATTGATGTTGACTTTTTTCGCCTTCTCACATTTTGTTGCGGCTTCCAACGCTCCAAGACCGAGAGATTTGTTTTAAAAGGGATATTCCGATTTTTGTTTGTAGTGTGTGTGTGTGTGTGCGCGTTTTTTTTCGTTTTTTTTGTTTCTCTCTTCCTTTTTGTTGGATCCAACAGATGCGCGCCCCCTCCTCCCAGGGGTCCCACACCTTCCCGGAACATCTCGTGTACGCTCCCGGTACCGCGCTTCCCGACCTCCCGGGGAGCCCCCACAATGCCCAAAGACAGTCCAAGACCACCCCAAGAAGCCCCCACTACATCAAAGAATTGCCCAAAACGCTCCCAAGCAATCCAGGATAGCTCTCGGGCGGCTCTCCAGGCTCCCAGGAGGCCTCCAAGAGACTTCACGAGAGCTCCGAGAGGCCTCCCGAGAACGTTCGGAGAACCCAAAAATTGTATGTTTCATTAATTTTGAAGGGTTTTTGGCCTTCTCACCATTCCATGCTTCCAACGCTCCAAGACGGCCGAAGAGGCCCCCAAGACCGCCCCAAGATCGCCCAAGAGGCCCCCAAGACGGTCCCAAGACGGGCCAAGACGGTCGCAGACTGCCGAAGAGGCTCCCCGGACAGCTCCAGACCACCCAAGAATAGGCCCCAGATGAGCCCAATAGCATTAGCAGGAGGCCGCCAGAGACCTCCGAGAGGACTCTGGGACTCTCCAGAGGCCCCCAACACACCCCAGACCCCTGAGAGGCTCATAACAAATCCCCGACGAGGCCCCCGAAACAGCCCAAGAAAGCTTCGAACAAGTGGAATTTTAGAATTCCGTTTTTTCAAACTCACCCCCTGCTTATTTTTGCACGGAGACCCCGGGAGGCATCCCAACAGACCGTGGCCTGCATGCAGAATACCGTCTAACCCACAGCCCAGGCACTACAACTTGAAAAAAGGAAATCCCGCCATTCCGTTTTTTCCAAGTTCGCCCCCCTGTCTATTTTTGCACAACAGACCACAATGAAGGCCCCAGAGAAGATCCCAGGAAGCCTTCTAGGGCCCCAAATCGTTGAATACCAAGCGGCAATTAATGATTGTTGCGTTTCCGCAGTTCCGTTTCTATATGATTCCGAGGCTTGCACAGGGCCTCCAAGAGAGTCTTTGGATGCAAATCACGACAAGGAAGATATTCCATGTGTTCGCCCATCAAGCCTAACTAGAACTTGAGCGCGCGCAAAGCGCGCGATATATGATCCAGGGTCGAGGGCCCACGGGCCCCCCCCCCCCAGATGGTATGGTCCCAGGATTCCTCGGGCCCCCCCCCCCAGATGGTATGGTCCCAGAGACGACGACGACGACGACGACGACGCCGGCGGCGGCGGCGACGACGACGACGACGACGACGACGACGACGACGACGACGGCTGCGACGACGGCGACGGCGACGACGGCGACGACGACGACGACGACCACGACGACGACAACGACGGCTGCGGCGGCGACGACGACGCCGGCGGCGGCGACGACGACGATGACGACGATGAGGACGGCGACGACGACGATGACGACGACGACGATGACGACGACGACGATGACGACGACGACGAGGACGACGAGGAGACGACGAGGACGACGAGGACGACGACGACGACGACGACGACGACGACGACGACGGACGACAACGACGGCTGCGGCGGGCGACGACGCCGGCGGCGGCGGCGACGACGACGATGACGACGATGACGACGGCGACGACGACGATGGACGACGACGACGATGACGACGACGACGACGATGACGACGACGACGATGACGACGACGACGACGACGACGACGAGGACGACGAGGACGACGAGGACGACGAGGACGACGACGACGACGACGACAACCTCTGAACCACCACAGCACCACACCACATCCACAGTGGGGGGGGGAGGGGGGCACCGCAGTGCAACACCACGCCACGCCCACCTCTGAACCACCACAGCACCACACCACATCCACAGGGGGGGGCGGAACCGCAGCGCAGCACCACGCCACGCCCACAGGGGGGGCCGGGGGGACCATCGCGCGGGGGGTGGGTGGGGGGCCCAATGGCATCAGCATTGATATATATATATATATATATATATATATCATCGTGGCGTGCTGACGGGCGTGACCGAGGGGGGGAGGGAGCGGGGGAACGGGCCGGGCGCGTCACGATTCGCGTCAGCGCCGCGAGTGCGGAGGGATGGCTCATTCCTAGACGGCGCCGGCGCAAATCGTGACGTGACCAAGGGGGTGGGGGAGTCGGGGGGGAGCGGGGCCAGTCACGGGCGTTATCGCGAACAGTGAAAACACGGGCCCCAGTCCGCCAGAGGTTGTGCACGCCCAGCGCCTGGGGAACCTGGTGCTCCAGGGCCCAACGGAGGCAGTGGACGTGGATATACAGTCGGACCGAGGCATAAGATCGAGGTCGGTTCGCGGAGGGTACCCTGATGTTCTTCGTGTTTGTTGGACGATCTTGTGCGTCCTGGGGAGGACCCCCTTGGATGTTCTGTGTGTTTTGGCCGACGGAGGGTTTCGTGTTCTCGAGGGATGTTCTTCTGGCCCAGGTCTGACTGTATGTCGAGCCCGCGGAGTGAGCTCTCTGTGGGCACCCTCGCCTCTGCGACCCTGCAGCCTCTGTGTCTCCCGCCGGCGCCGGCCATCTTTTTTTCTCTCCTTGCCAGCTGGCGTTGTCCTGTACTTGCGCTGTTGTTCGGTTCGACTAGACGTAAGAGTGGCCCTTCGCCGGAGTGACCTTTGGTGCGGGCACATTGGGGCCCCACGATTGCCGAGCGCGATTTGATAGCAGCGCCTTGCGCGCCTGTGTGTTAGGCCCCCCGCGGCCCACCAAAAGCCGCGCACCAAAGGTCCCTCGTACTCGCCGAGCGCGCACCGCCACTCGCAAAGCGCCCACTCGCCAACGCCAGAAAAGAACGTGTCGTTCTCTACGTAATGTTAAGTCGGGCTTGGCCCTCTACAGGAGGAATATTCAAAAATAGTAAAAAATAGCCTGGGGACGATTTTCTGATCATTATTTGACCATTGGGGGTTTATTTCTTGTTAAAACCCCTGTAGGAGGACAGGCCCGACTTAAACGTAATGGATCGTAAATCGTGTGTGGCAGAACCATGCCTTGCGAGTAGTATTACTTTGCGAGTAGTGGACCGCGCTTGTCTACTCGCCCGCTTGTGGTGCGCAGGCTGTCAGAAAATAAAGCGAGACGAGACCTAGACATGCGACGCCCTGATTTTTTCGAGACGGGGTCCCTGGAAGTCCCGACCCTTTCCCCGGGACCGGTTTTTCATCCGGAATCGTCTTGTGACGGTCCCGAGGCCCGGCGAGGGCCCCCCGAGGCCGAAATCGGCCCCAAACCTCCTGGCCTGGTGTTGCTGCGACGCGGGGTCACTCTGGCGTGTAGCCGATCGGCCCCCCGCAGACGGGGACATCGACCAGAGGAGGACCACGGGGCCGGCGGCGCTCTCAGCAGGGGCCACTGGCTGCGAAGGCGGCATGCTCGGAGGGCAGGGGGGGCTTCTCGGGCCTCCATCCGAGGCAGGAATTTACACAGGACCGCCGCCTGGAGGATCAATTTTCGGGGACCTCGGCAGGCGGTGGACATGGACATATTCGGGCCCCCGGGGGTCAAAATATATCCACGTCCACCGCCCGCCGGGGCACCAGGACGTCGGTTCCCAGGCGGTGGATGTGGATAAATCCCCGCCTCGCACTCCAGGGGCCTCGAGAGCTCGAGCTCCCCGGAGGCCCCCCAGAGGCTCTTGGATCGAGTGCGCGAAGAGTATCCGCTCGCGGGCGGGGCCCCAGGGCCGCGACCCCACGGATGAGTGGCGGTTCTTCAGAGGGTACCCCGCGCGGCACGCATCTGTGCGGCCGCGCATCCGCGGGAGATCGCGCCTCGCCATCCCAGGCTACGAGGGCGCGGATGCGGACAGGTTCGCCGCTCGTGGCTGGAGGCCCAGAAAGGAAGCCCTCGAGCTGGGATCTTCCTGATCCTCCTCCATTCTTAGGCGTATTGGGGGCACTCTTGGGCCCTCTCGGAGGCATTTTAGGCCCTTTTGGGCGCCTTTTGGGCCCGCCGGCTGCGCTATTCGACGGCGCTCGCGAAACGCCCTGGGAATCCTGGGGGATCCCCAGAAATCTGGGAGAATCCCCAGAACTTGTGTGGAATCCCCAGAAATCCTAGGGAATTCCATATGCGTGTGTGTATATATATATATATATATATATATATATATGTGTGAACACATATGTTTCCCCGATTCTCCTCGATCCTCCTCGTCATGCTGCCCTGGATCTGGAAATGTCCCCGCTGAAGATGTCCACGTCCGCGGGGGCCCGACTTTCGTCACCCGACATCGGGTGCTTGTTTGATCTGCCCTGTGGTGCACGCCGGGATTTACGCTGCCCTTCAGAGCATTCCCGGCGCGCGCTTGCACGTTTGCATGGAGGGGGGATGAAGCGTGGCAGGGAGATCCCTCATTCCCCTCTTCCTCACTCCCCCCTTTCCTCGTCCCTCCTCTCCCCTCCCTCCTTCCTCCTCCCTCCTGCCTCCTGCCTCCTCCCTCCCTCCTCTCCCTCCCTTTCGGCGCTTCGGGGCGACGCGTCCCATCGGCTTCGTCGCCGAGGCTCCTCGATTCTCTGCTTGCTCACCTGGCGCCAGTGAAGATTCTCTTACAGTGGAGGCCCATGCCAAGAAACACCCTGCTTGCCTCCAGGGTGCCCTGGGTTTCTTGGGTTTCGATGGTTTTGCTGTGGAAAGCGCGACGTTCCCACACCAAAAATCGATGGACGTCCTGGGTTCTCAGGGTTGTTTTTTTTTGTGCGGAAGGTTTCTTGTGGCCGGGCCCCACTGTACAATGTTGACGCGCACTCAGAGAGCGTATGGTTTTCGTTACGGCGGGGTTTCTTGGTTCCCAGCGATGCGCGTTGACTTGCCCGGTCTTTGAGAAACTACTACTGCCCCCTGGGTGCCTTGGGTTTCTCCCCCAATCGCACCTCGCGCCGTTCTTCGCCCCGGGAGGGCCCTTATCAGGATACAATGGGTTTCTCCGATTTGAGCCATTGGCTAAGAAACCCAGACCCTCGGCGAGAGGTTTGTTGGATTTTCTGGGCTGGTTGCTGGTTTTCTTGCGGAGGTTTCTTGCCCCACCAGATATTCTGCCAGTTGCAGTGCCGGCCTTTGCGGACAGGCTCTCAGCCTCATCAGCAGCGCCGCAATCCAAAATCCTCCTCCCTCCGCACCAGGCCCGAGCGCCGTGGACAGCCCCTGGAGGTCTCCTCCGCTTCGCTGGCCTCGTCCACGAGGCCCAGGAGGCGCGTCCTCTCTGACTTTTCGTTCTCTGCCCCAGCCAGAGCACAGACAAAGCACATCCAGCGGCATGCCTGCGTCCGGCGATGACCCCCGCTTCCCCCCCGAGCGCCGGCTCCTGGAGCCTCGGCCTCCGAGGCCAGGTCCAGAGGTATCCCGGACGGGGCCTCGGCGCAGGAGGTGGGCTGCCGGGGTGGATTGCGTCGCAGGCGGGGCTGCAGGGGCCGCAGGCCCAGTGCCCTGGCTCCCCGCGGCCCTTATCGGCACGCGTAAGCCCGATAGGACTGGCTGCAGGCAGTCCTTTGCGCGGACATTCCGCCCTGACAAGGTCACGCGCCCCTTCCCTCTCGATCCTTGTCTCTCCTCGTCCTCCCCTTCCTTCCCTTCCTCTCTTTGCACCTTTTCCTCGTTCCATTCGTTCTCCCTTCCTCTCCTCCCCGGGTCGCTCCCCCGTTGCCACGTGGGCTTTGCGTGCCGCGGGGGGCGAGGCTACCCACCGCATGTGCTACCGCTTCCGTCCGGCGGACCTGTGGCCTAGCGTCTTCGAGAGAGGCTGCTCCTCAGGGGGCTACAGCTAGTCGCTTCAACTTGACGCCGAGTTCCGCCGCCGCCGCCTCCTCCCTGTCTCCTCCTTTCTCCTTTCTTCTTCTCCTCCCCTCCTCCTCCATCCTCTCCTCCCTCCCCCTCCTCTTACCATTCCCTCCCTCCCTCTTCAGGCCTCTGCAGTCCTCTTGTTCCTCCTGCTCCTAATCCTCCTCCTTCCTCCTCTTCCTCATCCTATTTTTCCTGCCCCTCATCTCCCCTCCTCCTCCCTCCCTTCCTCCCAGCTCGTCCTCCTCCTCGTCCTCCTCCTCTTCCTCCTCTTCTGCCTCCTCCCCTTCCTCCTCCTCCTCCCCCTCCTCCTTCTCCTCCTCCCCCACCTCTTCTTCTCCTCCTCCTCCTCCGCCGCCTCCTTCTCCTTCTCCTCCTCTTCCTCGTCCTCCCCATCCTCCTCCTCATCCTCTCCTCCCTCCTCCTCCCTCCTCCGGCCTCCCCTCCTCCTCCTCCTCCTCCTCCTCCTCCTCCTCCTCCTCCCCTTTCCGATTTGAGGTTGACGCTTCCGCCTTCGGGTTACGTGCACGCTCTTCCCTCGGATCTTAATCCCCTTTTTCTGCCCTCCCCCCCTCTCTCCCTCCCCTCCCTCCCTCCCTCCCCTCCCTCCCTTTCTCTGCTCCCCCCCCTCTCTACCTCCCTCCCTCCCTCCCTCCGTTCTCGCTCCTCGCCCCTCCCCTTTTCCACCCCCCCCCCCTTCCCCCCCTCTCCCTTTTGCATCGCGCGGGCGTGTGCATTTTTCTCGGCGAGGACCATGGACGAGCCTTCTGGTCATCCTCCGGGCAAGCACGCGCAGGAAGCCGAAACATGCACGGGAAACGAACGTCCGAGCGATGGCGAGTCCCTCCCCCGCCCTCGCTCCTCGCGCGCCCACTGGGGGGGGAGAGGGCCCCCCTGCGGCAGGGTCGTGGCGCTTCGGCGCAGCGGCGACGCCAGCGCGGGGGGCGTTCGTGGCCGGGGCCCGGAGCACACTGCCCATAGTCGGGCGTGTGGCAATGTGGGGTGACCCACATGGGGGGTGAAGAAAAGTGTCCTACAAGGGCCCTTTGGGGTTCCTTTGGGAGCCAGCAGGGGCCCCAGAGGGCCTTCAAGGGCCCCCTTCAGGGGCCGTTTTCTCCACCCCCTCAAGTTGGGTCCCCCCCATACCATCCGCCCAACACGGGCGAAACTCATTCGAGAGATGGGGTCGACAGACTCCAGAGACTTCCGAGAGCGGAAGTGGTTCAAGGTAGAACGGTTCGCGCGGTTGCAGGATCCAGGGCCCACGTCGTCAAGGCCGGAGCTGGCCGTATGCAAAGGCAGGGGTAACCATGGGGACATTACGCCTTCGCGAAAGTTGTTGCCTATTGCCTTTGCCACTCGTGAGGGAAAGTATGGTGTCAGGGCCTTTGGGAATTTTACTTACATTGCTCAGTACCACACAGATCACGAACTGACCTGGGGACACTCCACTTCGTACCTTGCGACGTGGTGGTTGTGTGGGGCGAGAGTGAGGACGATGATTGCACATGACGTAGGAGAAGGAAGAACATATGAGGGGGATGGGGATGGGGGAAGCGTGGGGGCCTCCGTCTGTGCCTTGCGATGTAGAGTGCTAGCAGGGCTTCGCTCTGGAGCACAAGGCCCCAGGCGTTTCGTCGGACCCAGCCACGGCGACGCGCACATGCGGCAGCATCCACCATGTCGAGATTAGCACGATAACGATACTGGGGCTGTCAATGAAGATGACGATGACGATGACGACGATGCTGCTGGTGTTGAGGATTGAAAAGAGTATGGGTATGATAGTGGTCTTGAGCATAATC